TGGCGACAGCTCCTCAGCAATCAAGCGTAGACTAGTAATGGGCCGAACCGCAACAGCTAAACAGAAAAACCGAACATTAACAACTCAGGTTGGTTAATGCCCTTATATATCTCTTCTGGTTAATAGCCAGAAGAACGGGAACTATGGAACTACTGCTAGTAGAAGGAAAGATAGAAGGCTGAAAACCAAGAGGAAGATCTCCAACATGATGGACAGACCAATTAAAGACTTTGGTCGCAAAATCCCTACATGAATCTACTCTATTTAGAGTGTCACCACGCCCTAACAAGGGCTCAATGAATGAGGAGGAAAATAAAAAACCATTTGGAATACATTATTAAATGAATATTGAATTGTCTTTTTGGATAGATAGATAACATGTAGTTATCAACTAGTAAATAACAGAAATAGAAGTTATGTGCAAATTAAACAAAAATTTATTCATTTAATGTTTTTTTAATTTTACTGCTATTATCTACAATTGTTATGAGTTAAGAAAACAAAACAATAATTAAATAAAATAAAAATAATGTTATTTTATTATCTAAACAAAAACACCACTGCTTTGACGATGACATCGATGAACGGTAGTTTGCATAATCTATTTAGTATATATATCTATGTAATTTAGATCTTCTCAATTTACTTATTTTTAAATAACATGCCCTCTGCAACAAAAGTTACCGTGCCTTCCTTGACTATTAGCCTGAGATAAGCTTTCTTTATGAAAAATAGGCAGGAAACAATAATGGTGAAGCGCCATGACAATATAAATTGGAGACATACATTTCTCAAAAAAAAAAAAAAATAAGTAATATCGATCGGAAGCATTTTTATCATCAGTTGGCGCTACAGCCCTTCGTGAGCCTTGGCCTGCTTTAAAACATTCTTCCATCCTTCCCTATTGAGTGTCTGTCTTCTCCAGCCCCTCACTCCAATCTCCCTCAAATCTTCCTGTACATCGTCCAGATATCTGAGTTTAGGTCGCCCCCTTCTTCTTCTTCCGACCGGCCTGTTTAGCATAGTTATTTTAGTGGGATCACTCTCATCCATTCGTATAACGTGGCCCACCCACCTTAGACGGTTTATTTTGATGGTCTTCACAATACCTGCATCACCAAAAAGTCTATAGAATTCGGGAAGCATTTTTACTTGGATTAAAATTGAGTAAATATCGAACATAACGGTTATATAGCAACAGCATCAATAAAATTTAAACACCCTAAAACGTATTAAGTAACGTGGACATCACCAGATCAGAAAACGTACGGACTAAAAAAGAAAATAATTAGCAATGAAGCATGTGAGAACATTAGAGGTGTATATACAGATCCATGTCACTATATAATTACAGACACTACAAGACCATAAGTTAAAATGGAGTCGAAACAGAAAAAGCAACAGAAAAAAAATGGAATGTCAATAAATTTCACAAATCAGATCTTAGAAGCAAATATGAAGGAGAAACAACAGTGCAAATAAGAGAGATCAGAAACTAAATGGCTGATAACGGATAAAGAAGGACACAGACTAAACTATAAACAATTAAGAAAAAACGATAAGAAAATTATAAGATTAACACGTTCGCGACGACGCAGAATTCCGAGATTTTACCTCTCAGCCGTAATTTTTTTTATATGTATTTTAAATAACAATCTGTATTTTGACTATTATCAATATATTTTTCATATGTTTAAAACCATATTTTTCTATTTAAAAGCTATTTTTTGTATGTACCACCCGTGGAACACGCCGGCTGTAGTGAACATTCTTCAAGAAAAAACGTCGTGTACCACCAGTGGACACAATGTGAAATCGTAGGTGTCATAGTATTTTGTTGCATTTGTAACGGTTTTTTGCCTATTTAGGTTATTGTTAAAGGTTATACATAAACTAAACATTATACACAGGTAAAAGTGGTTCAAATATACCTGATAATGATTTTGAACATTCCTACAATATTTGCATGGGATTACTTGAGGGGCTTTTGTATGAAGGAAGCTCACTATATATTGATAATTATTATACCAGTGTAAATTTATGTAAAAAGCTTCTTTAGTGTAAAACATATGTTTGCGGAACTCTTAGATCTAACAAAAAAAATCTCAAAACTTTATGTCAAAAAAATTGAAGAGAGAGCAAATATATGGAAAACAAAATGATGAGGGCATAAGAGTTGCCAAATGGATGGACAAACTTCCTGTATTAATGATTAGTACAGTTCCCAGCCATACAGTAAACCTCCAACCGACAGGAAAAAAACAACAGACAAGCTAAAGATATTCTAAAACCACCTGAGGTTATTGTGTATAATAAGACAAAGAAAGTTGTGGACTTATCCGATCAAATGTCTTCATATTATAACCCGTTAAGAAAAAACATTAAGTGGTACAAGAAGTGTTTCTCGAAATTTGTCTTGGCACATGCATAGTAAATAGGTTGGTTCTTTTTAATAATTATGGTAATGATCCCAAAAAAGACAATATGTTATCTATTGGCGAAAAAATTATTGAAGGACTATTACAAAGTAAAGTTACAAAAGTCCTCGTGAACCAGATATTGTTTGATTATTTTTGGTAAAGCCCAAGATATAAAAATATGAAGGTAGTGCTAGACAGACAAAAAAATGCTGCTTTTCATGTTATAAGAAAATTTAGGATACACAAGGATTAAAGCAGCCCGAACAAAAACAAAAAGAGTGTGTACATACTGCGATACATGTGAAAATAGACAAACTATAGGCCTTCCTTGCTTTAATAAAATTTACAAAACCACCTAGTTTTGTATAAGTTTAAATTATCTCTTTTTGTACAATATTTATGTTATACTACGATATTTTAATTTTAATAAACCATTTTTACTGCTGTTCTTTGGTTTTATTAGTGACCATATAAATTATGGTATGACAAAACGACGGCAAACCCATATACTTAAAACTATACTTTAAGTGTGTACGCAATATTACCAAGATATCAATTAACTGTAAGGTTTTAGAGAGTTAAGAAATAGAAAGGTACCGTGTACCACCGGTAGCCACAAGCGGTTGACTGAAAAGTTAGGCATGTACCACCGGTGGTACACGTCGTCGCGAACGTGTTAAGTATCAGATGGGTAGATTTAAAAAAATGAAAGAAATAGAACAGGAAAGAAAAAATAGAAACATAAACAATTTTGATAAAAATATTAACGAACAAACCAAAACATACAAAGGTAAAATAAACGGAGTAAAAAATAAAGAGGGAATAGTTATAATAGAGGAAAATAAATATAAGCAAGTATAGGTAAATCATTACAGTTAACTCTTTACGGAGGAATATACTGGAAAAGAAATGAAGAAAGAAATCTCAAAAGAGCCAATAATAGAAGGATTTGGAGAAAATAATACAGAGGAGCAAAAATGTAAAATCTCATGGTAAAGACGAAATTAACATGTAACATAAAATTTGGAGGATAAGAGAGCGAAATATATTAACACTATTGAAACATACGGAAAGAAGATAAGATGCCAGCAGACTGAGAGATAGGACAGGTAATAACAATACATAAAAAAGCAGACCAACAAAAACCCCGATTCTATCCTTATGGAACGAGGTTTTAATTTAATTGGCTCAAACTATAGAGCTTTAAAGTGTCGGTTCTTAGTCCATTTCAATACATTTGAAAAGTATACAGGATGTTAGTAAATAAGTGCAACAAATTTGAGGGGTGATTCAAAATGACGATTTATTGATTGCTCTAAAACCAGTTAAAATATGCAAATACAATTTAGTGGGTTTTAAGGTTCATATACAATTAAGAAGTTTATATTTATCATTGGCTTGCATTCGCGTAATGATCTAAATGTTTTAAAGAAAATAATGGTACATCACTGACATAGTTAAAAATCATTTTTGAATTTTTCGTTTGTTTTGTGACAAAAATCTCTCAAAGAAATAAAAGGGGAATAACGTTAATAAGTACGACGTATAAAGTCAAGACAATAATAGGAAGAAGATCAGGTGTCAAAGATCACGAAAAATTAAGTGGGACAATACCAATGGAACTCGCAGAAGAAACAACAATAGGTGCTATACACACAATACAATAAATAATGGAAAACGCAAATGAATACAAATTAGAATTAGAAACGCTGTTTACAGACTTCAAATAGGTATTTTATTCGATAAGAAGGAAAGAACTAATGATAGTACAAAATTAGAAATCCCATATATAAACTAAGAAAATTAATAAATATGACAATCTGTTCATGATACCCATCCCAGAATTCTAGAACCTTGTACCAGCTCGCATAGGTTTTTGGAGCCACTTGATAGTCTACAAAAAGTGTTCGCTGCCTTCGATTTAATTCTGTCACCATGAAGTCATATATGTATACAGTATGAAATAGTTTTCTTATTAATGTGTGCCTCAGCCCAGTGAGACATCGATCTGACTCAGAATTTTTATAATTCTATTAAATAAGTCTTTTCATATTTCTCGCAACACTGTTCATGCTTTTTCCAAGGATATGATCTGTTTTAATTTTATATGATTGAACAACTTCTTCATGTATTATTTTGGTACTATTGCTGTTATTGTTTTTGCTCAGTTATCTGTCAAATTCCTTATTTAATAAAATACCTATCAAAATATTTCTTCCAGTGCTTTTTAGTTCTGCTTGTTTACAGTTTTTCATGCACTAGTGCTTTATAATCTTCATTTGAGATACATTTAATCTAACTAATCTATTTTTATTTCTTTGCTCTATATTTGACTATTATACTTGATTTTTTGACGTAAAACAATCATTTTTTCGTAATCAGGAATGAAAACTTTTATTTTATTTTGCCCTCGTAGATGTGTTTATTTTAGTATATAACTCTATTTAACTATATACAAACATTTTGAGATGAATTAATTTAACCATATGTGTCATCATTAGCCAAATGACATCACCTGTCAGTTTGAGTGATAATATGAACATTGATTTATGCAAGAATAATGTTGAAAAGAGACCTTACCTCCAAATGCTCCACACTGGAAAGAAGAAATGTTCGCCTAATTTTGTCCAAAACCAAATCATATTCTCTCTTCCACATGATTCAAACTCTGGCCAAAGTGCCCAATTAGACACTACTAAAACAAAACTGATCAAAGCAGGCACATATAAAATGAACAAAGTAAGAGAAGCCCAAATAGGATCGTCGTTTTTAAAATGGCTAAAAATAACACCGACATCGACAGCTATTAGTAAAATATACAAAATGCAAGCACTAACAGAAGGCACCAAATAATTCACTATAGCATCTTCACAGGAAGTAAGTTCATATCCCAGTAGAGTTTGTTTCTTTCCGTCGTTTCCTCCTGTAACCATTATTCATATTTTTTTGTTATTGTGTACATTAAATATCAATACTCAAGTAGATTAAATGGCATAGTTTGTTGTATAAAATGTTCATATTTGTTGTTGGGGCGTATCTTATCTTCTAGAGATATATAGATAAACACGATCTACTGAGTTTTTATCTTATGTTTACAGATTACTCACCTTTAGTAGAACTTTTTAACATAGTTATATATATCTAATCTACGAAACAGAAATAATATTATTTTTAGGAAATGATAATACATAGTTTAATTCGAGTGGAATCTAGTCGTTTCTCGAAAAAAATGTGTTGTAGATAAATGTCCTTTTAGTTAATATCTAATTTACGATTTACAAATAAAACGACAAAGCTACTTTTCTTTTTTCATTATTGTCATCGTCAGTGGCGCATCCAGAATTCGTCATTGGAGGGGGGGGGGGCTTCGAATTTCTTTTATTCTACCTTCATTTTGAGTCCGTAAAATTTAAGTTTACAGTATTAAAGATAGCAGTGCCAAAGATACATATCTATATTACATTATCCAACTTGTAAATACAATACATTTTGGAGACGGCTATCGCCGTTTTCCGTTCTACTCCGCCAATCCTCCCGGTCCAAGGTATGCTCCTCCTCCAAACCTCTCGATTTCATCGCTCTTCCAATTCCTTCATTCCATGAGCGTCGAGGTCTACCTTTTTTTATTCGTTCAGGAGGCGTACACCTGTGAAGTTTTTGGGGCCAACGTTCGTCAGACATTCTCAATAGGTGTCAAAACCATTTTAAACCTCTTCTTTCTATTTTTAAAATGTTTGCACTTGTTTGATTTCCACGTACTCGTCTATCAACACTTCAAACCTTGCATCTGAATTGATAACTAAATATTCTGTTTTCCTCATGCTGACTTGTAACCCCTATTTTACATATTCTCTCTAGAGACGCTTTATCATAAGTTCTAGATTATAAGAATCTTGAGCTAGGACGACTTGGTCATCCACAAAGTTCAGGGAGAACAGTACGTCATTTCCTATATGGATTAACATTCCCTGGCAGTGATTTTTACAATTTTGGAGGGCTTCCTCAATATATAAATTAAACAGTAGGGGTGACATACTACATCCTTGTATTAGTTCTTTAGTTACTTTTATTGGCTCTGATAGTCTATTTCCGATTTTTGGGTAAGTAGTGGCATGATACTATGACTAACAAGATAATATCTTCCCGTAGCACAAAATCGGTCGTGTTTGCGCATGCCGTCATTGGAGAGTAGAATTTGAATTCTTGTTAAAGTTAAATTGAATTTGTATGCATTTTGTGATAAAATTACTAGACGAAAATAAGTTCTTTCTTTCTTTCTCCCCTTCCTTTTACCCTATCAGGGTGTCGGATTTGGGCTAGCTATTTTAATTTCCATTTACCCACCTCTTCCATTCTTTTCTGTTTCCTGCCATTATTTTCAATTCCTCGAGTGATTTTTGTTTATATTTTCACGCCTCTACTACTTGCTGTATCCATTTTTTTCTTGGTCTGCCTCTTTTTCTTTTTCCGATATTTTTTGCTTCATAAACTTTTTTTGTTATTCTATTGGATTGCATCCTCGTCAGATGCCCATACCAGTTCATTTGTCTCTTTGCTATTTTGTTCATTATCGGTTCCTGGTTGGCCATTCTCCTAATAGTCTCGTTGCTTAATCTATCTCATTTTGTCTTTCCAACTATCCTTCTTAGATGTCTCATCTCCATTACGTTTATCCTGCTCTTATGTTTTTCCAGAATTGTCCAGTTTTCACTTGCATAGAGCACATTCGGTATCACTATTGTGTTATATATTTTTATTCTTGTTTCTCGTGTAAGTTCTCTTTTTCCCATTATTGGGGCTAACGCATAGTATAACTTGTTTGATTTCTTTGCTCTATTTGTTATTTCCCAGTCTATTTTTCCATCATTAGTTACTATACTTCCCAGGTATTCGTAAGTTGATACTATTTCCAATTCTGTGTTTGTACATTTTATCTTTATTTGATTATCTTCCTGATCTCCATTGCCGCTGATTATCATTATCTTACTTTTTTCCTCGTTTATCTCCATTTTTAGTTCTTCTATTTGTTCTACCCATATATCCATTAGTTTCTGCATTTTATTCTCGGAATCTGCTATTAGTACTATGTCGTCTGCATACATTAAGGACTCTATTGTTACCGGTTGTAATCTGTGGTAACCTATTATTGTCTGTAGTTGATTGGTTCTGATTCTAGTGTTTCTTAACAATTTGTTCATTACTATTATGAATAGCAAAGGGCTGAGACTATCTCCTTGTTTAATACCTCTCTTCCAATTAAATGCTTCCGATCTTTCCCCTGTTATTTGTACCCTTCCTTTTACCTCTTTGTAAGTACTTTCTATAATTTTTATCAATGCATTAGGTACATTTATTTTTCTCAAACATTTCCCTATAATATGTCTTTCTATCGTGTCAAATGCTGCTCTTAGGTCTATGAATGCTAATGCTAGTTTTTGTAATGATATATATGTTGTCATTTGTCTGTCTTCCCGGTCTAAATGCCGTTTGTTCTTCTCCCAATACCATTTCTACTTCTGTCTCAGTCTCTTCTCTATTATTTTCGTATATATTTTAAAACATACCGATGACAGACATATTGCTCTATAGTTGTCGCAGTTTACATGTTCTCCTTTTTTGTATATTAGCACGATGATATTCTTCTGCCAGTCTTTAGGTATTGTTTGTTTTTCCCACGCCTCTTTATATATTTTCCATAGCCAGTTTATTCCTTCTTCTCCCATGTATTTTACCATTTCCGGTTCAATTTCATCGTCTCCACCTGCCTTGCCTATTTTTATATTTGATAATCCTTCTATTACTTCTTCTCTACTTATTTGCTCTAGCTCTGTGTTTTCTTCGCCTTCATTGTTTATATTGTATTCATTTATTACTTCGGTATCAAATTTTTTCTCATAATATTCTTTCCATACCCTAGCTACTTGTTCTGGGCTTATTTGTATTTGGTTTGAAGTATCTCTTACTGCGTTTATTTTCTTTCGTCCTCCTTGCCTTATGTGTCGTATTGTTGTCCAAAAGTTTCTATTATTTGTTATATATTCTTCCTGAAGTTCTTCTCCAAATTCTTTCCATGTTTTTGCTTTTGCTTGTGTGACTGTCTTTTTTACCAATCGTCTCTGCCTATAGTATTTTTTATTTTCTTCTTCTAATCCCGTTTCAATGTATTTTTTCCATGCTATTTTCTTCTTTTTTATTTCTGTCTTCACTTCTTTATTCCACCATCTTGTCCTTTTCAATTGTTTATTATATTTTTTTATTCCACACACTTCAGTTGCTATTGTCTTTAATACTTCACTGTAAGTATTCCATCTTTCTTCCATTGTCCATGTTTCTTTTTGGCCCTCTATTTTTCTCAGTCTTTTGTTAGTTTCCTCCGTGTACAATTCTCGCACACTTTCTATCTTTAGTTTGTTTACATTTACTTTCTTATACTCTTTTCTTTCCACTTCCTCTATTTTTTCATCCTCCAGTTTTGCAGTGACCATTCTATGTTGTGTAGACAGTTCCGGTCCTTTCCGTTAGATGGTTTTATATTTGTCTAGTTTCTCGTATAGACTATATATGGTCTATTAAGCTTTTCGCATTTCTCTCTTCAGCCACAAATGTGTTTCCTATTATCAGGTCATTGGTTTGGCAGAATTCCAGCATTTTAATTCCATTTCTATTTAATGTGTCTTTTCCATATTGTCCAATGCATCCTAATCCCCTGTTAATGTCTTTACCTACTCTTGAATTCCAATCGCCTAAGATTATTATTTTTTCTCTTGTCTCTCTTAATTTGTCAAATGCGTTTTGGTGTTCGTTGTAGAATTCTATCATTATCTCTTCTTCATTTCCTTCTGTTGGTCCGTATATTTGTATTATTCCTATCTTGTCTTTTAGTTTTATTTGGGCTGTGATTATTCTAGATGATACTGCTTCGTAGTTTGTTATTCTTGATTCTATTATTTTATTCACTATTATACCGACTCCTTCTTTTGCTCTGTGACCCTGTGGTACTCCGGAATAATATAGAGCCTTCGCCTCAGCCTTCGGCTTCGTGCTGTTACCAAGGAATGAGCTTTCGATTGTCATGGAATTATCTCGTCTGTTATCAATGTCCTAGGGATATTACTACTGATAATTAATTTCTGGTCAGCACTAATTACTGTCTTATCTGCCAAAAAAAAACAAAAACAAGAAACGCGTAGGAATGCCTAAGCAGGTCGACCCCTCGGACTTAAAACATTCGCCAAAACCACTTTTTTAATCTTTCACACAATTATTCATTTGCTTAAGACTTGTTAAAATTATTAAAATGGTTCTATCTTACTTGTCTGATGGTATTTTCTTTATTTACTACTATCACTGTATGCACTTAACTTTTAGTACTTATTTTTGATCTCGGTTGAATTTTCTAACTTGTAATTCCCCAATAATTTTAAGTTTATTACGAAGCGAAATTAAATGAACCTACTGTTGTCACTTGCAGGACCGTACTCCGAAAATAAGTTAAGAGGTTTAATAATTACAATATTTTCAAACTATTTATTAAAAATTATTTATTGATAATTATAAAAAACTGGCATTTCGAACGTGCAACTCTCCAATGACGTCACGACTTATGCGCAATATCTTATCTTCTTAGTCATAGTATCATGAGTAGTGGTAACCTTGTATACTTCAGTGATTATTCCTAAACGGTATGGATTAATGCTGAGGTGTTGTAAAGCTTGTCACAATTTAAGTCTTGGAACTGATATACGCCTTTTCTAGGTCGATTAAGGCTAGATCTACTTCGGTACCAACCGCTATTCTTTTTGCTTTTAATTGTTGGATTATAAACAAGTTATCAGTGCAATATCTACCAGGCGTAAATCCACTTTGGTCTTCGCTAATTGGATGTCCTTCATCATATTGTATTTTTCCATTTATTATCTTTCCAAACAATCTCCCGAAAGTAGGTAGGACACTTAATCGTCTGTAGCAGTTAGGATCTTTT